TTTTTTTTTTTTTCATTAAATTATAGGAGTGAAATATTTACATAAAAAAATAATTTATAATATACTTTAATAGCTATGATAGAAGCTATAAAACAATTTGATATTGAAAGAAGAGAAGGTGTTAATATGAGAGTTGGAGTACATACTGGAACTGTATTATGTGGAATTGTAGGTACTAAAAGATTTAAATTCGATGTTTGGTCTAATGATGTAACTTTAGCAAATAAACTAGAAAGCACAGGAAAACCAGGAAGAGTTCATCTAAGTGAAAAGACTCTGAATTTTCTCAATGATCGATATCTTACAGAAGAAGGAGATTTAATAAATGGTATTAACATTATTATTATATAATATAATATTAATAATTATAATATAAATAATTATATTATAATATTAACGTATATGTAATTTGTATTTCATTAATTTTATAATTATAATTAAAACAAAAGTATTTTATATTACAGGTATTAAAACTTATTTTATTAAAGGTCGAAAATCAGATTTTACCAATCAATTTATAATGAATATAACATCTCCGACAAGTATATCGCCTTTGATGCAATCGCGTCACCGTGTGGCCTCTTGTAATAATCAATCTAAATTGAAATATCATTACCTCCATATGGTTACTAATACAAGTAATTATAGAATGAAAGCAAACTCTTTGCCAAGTATTCTAGATTCCGAAAACGGAGATACTGATATCACAGATGAAAAAGAAAATGCAAATAAAAGTCCGATATCTGTTGCCAGTTATGGAAAGAAAAAGATACGAAATAAACCATGGAAATATTTACAACGACAACGAACTACTGAAGAAATGACACCTCTAGAAATGGAAGAAGCCAAAGCAATTATTGCCGAACAATCAAAAACTGAATCTCAATCATATGAAGATCGTAATGGATTTAGGCAGGTCAAAATCGCATCGATAAAAGTTTTATTTTAATTTTCAGTTGCATTATCTCATTCATATATAAGTTGTATTTTTTTGCAGAATACATCTCAAAGTGAGATTGAAATGGATCCAAATCCTGTACCTTCTAGTCCTTTATTATCTGGTCAAGAGTCACTTAGTCGTGCCTCTTCTATGTGCAGTAGAAAAGATTCGGGAATTAGAAGTAATAGCAGACGTAGTAGTATACAGCAACAGGTATATTTATATTATAAATAATAATAGAAATTATATAAAAGTATTCTTTAATACTATACTTCTCACAGCAGTCAACATGTTCCCTTTTTCCTGCAGTTAATTTTCATATTTTAGTTATTTTTGATGAACGGCATGGCTCAAGGAGATTTATTGGCACATAGAGTAAGTGGATATTATACTTCTAGTTCGACATTAAATTCTGCTCATGAGCCATCGTCTTCGGTACCATATCCATTTCCTCCAGCAGTTACAGATACTTTTGGTGCATGTTTTCATAAATTAAGAAAACAATCTGATCTACAATTAATTAGGTAAATAACTTTAATTTACATATTTTAAAAAATATAAAATAGTTCGTATAATTTTATTTTTCACGAAGGTGCGTTCAAGATAATGTAAGTTCTCAACGATCATACTTCGTGAAACCACCACTTTCGAGTTTGACTCTCTTTTTCAAAAATAAAGAAATGGAAAAAGAATACAGAGAAAATGCTCACAAGGTTAATGAATGTATCAGTGGAAATCCACCTACTCTGGCTACCTCGAGATTCAATACATATTTTGATATTTTAATATCGGCATTGATTTACACTGCCGTCACAATTTCACTCTTTTTACTTTGCGATCCAACGTTATATTATATGATCTTTTTTGTATGTGCTACTACCATTCAAATTATAGCAGTGTTACTTTGTGTTCGTCAACTCTTATATCCAAATATGGTTCATTCAATATTAACACAACAAATATTTAAATTTTTTTCACAATGGTATCCTTGGCATATTTGCGGTGCAATTTTAGTCGGCTTACCAATTACGTCTATTTTTCTTAATTATACGTGTAGTAATTTTCATAATTTGAATAATTTTGAATACTATTATGGTTATTTGATTTTTATTAGTTTAGTTCATTTTTGTAATTTTACACAACTTAATTGTTGGATGAAGAATTTTTTAGTAACATTTATGGGTGTATTATTTCTTTATTTTGTAATGAATCATTTGTCATATGATCAAGAAAATCTCGGTAATCTATTCATTAATAAGACATTAAATTATTCACAATTCCCAATAGATAAAAATATTATTGATTTAATCAAAAATCAATCTAATGAAACCATTATAAAGAAAATATTCAATAATATTCCTGATTTCTTATTAAATTCTACAACGATTGCTCTTATAAGTCAACAAAAGACAGAAATCAGATATCATGAAAGATTATACAATTCCGAGATTTTTTTAGATATGATACTTTTACTTTTGTTAGTTTGGTTTTTAAATCGTGAATTTGAAATTAGTTATCGATTAAGTTTTCACGGAAATGCAGTAGCTGCTCGAGATAAAAGTCGTGTACAATCTATGAAAAATCAAGCTGATTGGCTTTTACATAACATTATACCAAAATATGTTGCTGATCAATTAAAAACCACTGCTAAATATTCACAAAATCATAAAGATGTGGGAATTATTTTTGCAAGCATAGTAAACTTTAACGAACTTTATGATGAGTCTTATTTAGGTGGTAAAGAATATTTGCGTGTGCTTAATGAACTCATTGGTGATTTTGACGAATTATTAGAAAAACCGGAATTTTCAAATGTAGAAAAGATAAAAACTATTGGTAGCACATTCATGGCAGCAAGTGGTTTAAATCCACAAGTTAGACAACAAAATGAACATGAATATAAACATCTGTTTCAATTAATAGATTTTGCTATGACATTGCATAAAGTAATAAATGATTTCAATCGAGATTTATTAGGTTTTAAATTAATTTTGAGAATTGGTTTTAATTATGGCGATGTAACTGCTGGTGTAATCGGGGCAACGAAGCTATATTATGATATCTGGGGTGATGCTGTAAATATAGCATCTAGAATGGATTCGACTGGAGTCGCTGGAAGAATACAAGTGGCCAAGAACGTTTTAGATGTTCTTTCGGAACGATATGAATTCGAACCACGTGGTCAAGTTTATGTTAAGGGAAAAGATAATATGGATGTATTTTTATTAATAGGGAAAAAAGACGATATTAATATAACAACGAACACTTAAACATTTTCAGGTCTCTAATAGTGATGTTGATTCTTTATAAAATTAAAATTAATCGTTTGCATGTTACACTTATATCAAGCATATGATCTTTTTGGGATCAGATTTCTAGCGATCTCGTTAAGAATTATACAAATTTATGATATAATGTGTCATCAACGTTATACATGATAAAAACGTACCTTAATTCTTTAATTGCTCGCTCATTAAAGATATTTATTCTTAACAAAACAATTAACTGTATTTTTTTACGTAATTTAAGAACATCAGATGTGTGTGAGACCTATCAAAATCTATCGTTATAAAAGTACAAAATCAAATCAATTTGAAAAAATCAAATTTTTTCTTAATAATTCTTGCGAAAAATCTATCGAGACAAATATAATACGCATCTTCATTGTTTGTGTGCTGAATGAACGAACGTATGAACGATGCGAATGAGCGGATAAACATATAAAATGACCGAGTTTGGTCATCGTCAACAAGTTCCTAGTATAAAATATGCGACTTATATATTAGACAACTATTAATTATTTCAAAGTATAAAAAGCTTTCTAATGTTTTATTAATTCTATCGATTCATATGAGATTATATAGCTTATTTCATATCATGAGTAATTAATCAGATTTATTTATATTACAATTTAAACATGAAAATATATCAAATTATTTGTGAAGTAGTAAATAATATTATAATAAAATGCCTCAAGTTTCAAAATTTTTTTTAAGACTTTAGTCGAAAATTGATGAAGTTTATATACTTATTTTAATTAAGAATAATTATTCAATATTGTTTCTCATTAATTTTTCGCATAGTATATATAAGAATTCTGTTTTAAGATCACTATAACTCTCAGAAAATTTAGTACTCAATAATTCCATGCAAAACTTATATTCTATTTTAGTTAGATACAAAAGAAATAAATTTATTAATATATTATATTTTAACATTGTTTTAGAATTTATTGCATGGATTATCAATTTTATTAATAATAAAATCGTAGTTTATAAATTAGCATTCCGTTATCTTTTTAATCTAATCTGTTTTATTTTCATTTTTTAAAAACATTGATAAAAAGCTACATAAGATGATATAAAAATAATGAAATATTTTTTGGCATTTTACTGCAATTGTACTTTAGACAATTTTTAGAAGTTCAATACATGAAAATCATTTAATATTCATTTTTATAAACGCATACATATATACATACAAAATATGTTTTGAACTTTCACTTGACATTGTCTTATTCGTACTTATGTTGAAATATATCAATAGATTTTGAAATCTTCTTGGAATATAGTTACAAATATAAGCAAATAAAAAGAGTATTGATAGGAAAAGTATTTTAATTTCAATATTATCTTAATGTGCATATTGTCGCGTATTTTAAATAAAAATTGTTAAACTCTAACGCGTAACTAGTTTAACTAGTAATAAAATTTGAAGTTTATTAAAAACTTGTACTTTATTATGGTAATCTCGATAGTATTTTGTTGCAAAATATAGTTCTTTATGAATTTTATTTTAGAACACATGTGATGTTAATATGATAGGCAAATTGATTGTATATATAACATGATATAATTTAATATTAAATTTTAGTATTTGAATTATCATTTAAATACAATTAATAAAAGACACTGGTATTATTTAAATTTTTTCTATACCTAGTGTAATAAATCTTTTAAATAGCACAGTTTCTATCATGTAGTACTACATACAAATTCTGTGCTATATTATATTATTTTTAAATCCATGATGATTGTCATGTATTAAATGATTATTAATATCTACAATTTCATGTAAAGTATTGTCACTATTTGATATATAATGGCAATTGTGTAAAGTACTAATTCATTTTTATGTGATAGTTACAATGTGCTACATTATTCACAATAATAAAATAAAATAATTAAAAAGAAGTAACAACAAAACATAGAAATATTACGTTTGATTTACATATAAGTATCTAAAATGCTATTTAATTTGAATTTTTGTAAATTTTAAATGAAAAACAAAAATTGCATTTAATGGGAATAATATGGCCCAAACATATTTAATATTAAATATTTTAAAAAAGCTTATTTTATATGCTTTCGAAATGCCCAAATAAAATTTTTACAACTAAATTCATATGAAACATACAATATGAAACAATATTTTTAAAAAGTGCTGAGAAATGGACACATTTTTCTCTTGATTAAAAACAATTATAATCAATTCGAATACAAATATTTGTACCAAATCGTAAAATTGTTTTATATAAATCAACAATCTTTATATTATACATTAGCGAAATATTGTTTACAAAAACTGTATTACACATCGCGTTGAAAATCATTGTTTTACATTGTTACAAAAGATTTTATGTAAATCCAAAGAAATAGTAATAAATGCATAAGACTTAATATACAATTATTCAATAATCTACTTAGATTTGCTTCATATTTGTCTCATCATATGTACTGCATGCTCTTCTTTAACGACAAATATTTTATGTTACATATACGTATGAATACGTATCACGCATACAATACATACATACATACATACACATACGCACGCATGCATTACTACACACTCTGAATATTCAAGAAATACTAACTTTTTTGCGTATTGAAGTCCTGAATTAAAAATAAGAGATTTTCCCAAATAAAACTAGATATTAAATTTTTTTTGTCTTATAAACTATTCATAATCGATTTTGAACGCGTGTGTAAGCGTATTTTCTTTTAACTTTATTCATTATTTGATATATATAAATAAAGTAATTATGTAAATTGTATTACCAAACTGTGTATATATGCGTTCAATCTTATGAATAATTTAAAGATGAAACATCATATTTAATACGAGCTTACTCTATGAAATCTTCTTATTTCAATTGCAGGATCCCATTATATATATAGTTCAATCTTTTGTTGTAGGAAAATGTTTTCACGATGATTTATTACAATTTATTAATTCAGACCATATGTATGCAGAGTGGTCATGTAAATGGAGTTTCTGCTACGTGGGTCCTGCAAATAAAGCTGCAAATCCGCTATCAGTTGAGTTTTCGGATATTTCATCCACACGTACTGCTTGTTGCTTTCCAAAAACTTCTATTCGTGGTAAATTGTCTATTTTGACTTCTTTACGAAATAATTGACCAACACTTCGACCAATAAGCTGTAATAGATATACATAATATATTCATAAATAATATTCTTTATCTTCGTATCTTTTAATGTATTCTTTCTATTTTAAATATGTATTTAAATTTTACCTGATTTGTAATTTTTTTAAAAAGATCTTTTTTTCCTTTTTCAACTTTATTTCCTTTAGTACTAACTACAGCCATTTTTTCATCGAAACGTTGCAAATCCGTAAGATTAACGCCCGGAATTTGCTGCATTACTTCAATAATATTAGGGAATTTAGGTCGTAGACATTCATAAACTTGTGCACCCAAAGTTATAAGAGAACCTTGATTGGCATCATGTTGTCCATGAAGTTGCAAACCTTGAAGAATTGCTACCATAATATGAGCAGCCATATCAGGTGTTAAACTGCCATCAGCTGCTAATGCTCGTACAACTGGTCCAGTTAACATTGTAGCTTTTAAACTGGCATTTGAGTCGTTCCAAGCTAAAGCTCTAGAAATAATAAAAGATTAAAATTAATACTGCTGTAGAATGAATATCAAATAAAACTATATTATAATATCAAATAATTATATTTGAATTACCCTAAAACACATAAAACAACACTATGGCACGTAGACGGATGACGAAGAACTACAGCTCCCAACTCACTAACAACTTCAGCAACTATACTATTTCCACGTGATGAAGGAAAATCTATGGCCATACCACTACTATCTTGTTCCATAGTATCAGGAGGCGTTGCATCACTAGCAGCACCACCAACAAGAGCTACTTTCAATACATCTACAAAATCTCTTGTCAAATTTCGATTTAACATATCAGCAATAACTTCTTGTGTATCAGTATTTTCTTCATCTAAACCACCAGATTCGTACAGATGTGCAATGTATCGCCACTTTGCACTCAATCTTTGACACACTATTAAATATGATAAATATAATAAATATAAATAAAAAACAAATATAATAAAAAAATAATAAGTAAAATAATAAGAAAATAAAAATATCTTACTATGTGTAGAAACATGAGCCAAAACGGGTACAAGAACACTTTCATAAAATGCAGGTGGACAAGAATATATAAACGGTTTCATGAATACGCGTATAATTGGTCGCAATCTATAATCTGGAACCATCTAAACAAAAAAAATAAAAAAAAACATTATCATTCAAATATAAGAAAGTTTATTATGTTGTTATTGCTATTTAAGAGAAAAAGAATTTTAAGAAATTACCTCCATATTAGAAAAAACTGAATTAATAAGTGCTGGTGCTAAACCAGGCAACTGGTAGAAATCTCTCCCAATCATGTGACATCCACTACCTAACATATGATAGCACAAATCATTTATAGTATTAAGAAATGATTGCATTCGGACTAAAGCTGTAACTGAAGACTGATCAGGTTCAGAAGCGCGTTCATTATCATTTGTTGTATTTAAACCCAATAGATTTGCTTTTTCTGCTTCTAATAATTCATGAGCATTTTTATATCCCTAATAAAAAAAATGTTAATATATTCCTCTAATTAATCATTAAAAAAAAAAGAAAAAGCAGATTATTAATATTTGTATTACCTCTGATAAAGCTGCTAAAGCAGCAGATGTGAATAAAGCATTCATTGTTCTAAGTAATGCAAAAAGTGTGGGCAATATAGGAATTACATGTGGTGTAGCAGGATTCCTATATACTGGATTTCCACTTTCGCTAAGTGCAGCTACAAAACTACCTCTTGCAGCACGATCTGGATCATCAGGAATAGAGCATCGCTTTACAACACACAATATTGTACAAATACAAATCATTAAGTCACTTCGATTTTGACCTGCTGGATCTTCTGTAATATTTTCAACTGGTGGTCGATCTAATCCTATAAATCTCATAAATTCAAGTGGTCCTTTAAATGACTCAGATCCTAGAGCAATGAATTTTGCTGATGCATCACCAATTATTTCAGCAACGAATCTAGTTTGTCTTTCATAATCACAGAAATGATTCGATATCAATAGTAATGCTTCATATAATAAAGTAGTTTCCATCTTAGATAAAGGACTAGGTTCTCTTGCTAAACCTCGAACCATTGTATGTATTTGCTCGAAAACTGGAAGCAGTAATAATGGATATTTCAGACTAATTTTAACCATAAGACTAGCAGCATGCCGCCTTACATTCTTTGCTGCTTTAGATCGAGTACCCTTTGTTTCACCAGGTGCTTCAAATACGAGAGCAGCAAAGATTTTTTCCAGAACTCTAGGTAAGATAGCTACTCCTGGCATAGCCATTGAACCAGTTGACATAGATAAGAATACAAAAAGAGCACTGATGCAAGAAAGTAGTGCAGATAATAACCAAGGATCTTGAGGAGAATAACCAAGGCACAATTCTAACAATTGAAGACCAGTTTGTACGCTTGGTCGTTCGTTAATCAAAAGAATTCTTGATACAACAGAATCTAAAGCTTGTGCAAGTGCTTCCCATTCAAGATATTGTAAATCATTTTGATCACTTTGATATCGAAGATCCGCCATTCCTTTCGTAATCTTAGCTGTTAACCATTGTTGCACATAAGTAAATGTTACTAAAGGTGCTACCATTGTTGCTTGACGAAATCCTTCCAATAAATCAGTTCGAAATCTATGAAGAAAAACATTGAATTCTTCCACTGAATCATAATCCGCAAGACAATATGCGCTCATTCCATTAGCTTGTCTGCCTTGTGGATATGCTATTTTTATTAGCTTTGGTGCTGTACTTTCTACATATTTTGGTATGTAAGTTAATAACAATGGATCTTGTTTTATCTGTTCGTGCTTAAATAGCATTATCCAAATTGCATTTGCCATATGTGTTAATGTTAAACTTGAATACATAGTAAATGTCAATACAGTATCTAGAAATATGTTGAAATGTGCTGGCCGAATATTCGAGCTGTCATCTTTACCCCAAAGCGTACATAATTGAGTTGCCATTCCAGTTAACACCTTAATTAAAAATTATTATTTATTATAAGCAATTAATAATATATATATTTTATGATAAATTAAAATTTACCTGTGTCAATTTTTTTAAAAACAAATAATGATTTTCATGAAATTCATTGGTTCCAGTAACAGGTGATGCTGCAGTTGCTGCTGTATAAATATATCTCAAAGCATCTTCAGAAAATAAAATCATTAACTGTTTTCTGTCTTCAGCTTTTCCTTTACGATTTACTATTTGTAATAAACATTCAGCTGCTGAACATTGAAATATTGGATCTCCCAATAAAAGACATAATATTTGTAATAATCTACCATCTTCTGCCATAACATGATTAATTGAAATCCATTCTACAAATCCAGTTAACGTGGATAATACTACCTATCATAAAAAAATAATTTTTAGATTTTAGAAATATAATTACAGAAAATAATTATTAAAATATAAATAATTCTATAATATATTTACTTGTACAACTTTACTATGTGCTGCAGCTTCGGAAGTACAACCTAAACTATTTTTCTTTTGAAATTCTGAAAAATGTTGTTCCATTAATCTTAAAAAAAAACTAAAAATTTCAGCCATATTTGTATTAAGTGCTTGGTATATATCTTTTCTTCTTTGATTAGATTCTAATGTTTGTAGAAGTGCAACATCCTCTACAAGTCTTAGAAATACTAAAAGAACCAACTCAGTTTGACTTTCACCCCTTGTACAAGTTTGACTAAGTTCAGCAAGCAATGTAGGCCATTGTTGTGGCCATTCCCTCTTTATCATTTCTACTACAACACGAGAAAGTGCATCTTTAATATGAGCTTCTTCTTGCAATAATGGTTCTGTGCCTTCTTGAAGCAATTTCATTGCACTTTCCTTTATAAATATTTTTTCTGATTGAGATATTTGTGTCCATCTATATTTGATACAATGTTCCATAAGTTGTAATCCAAAGTGTCGAACTACTGAACTTCTGTTTGGAGCTTTTTGTGCTAAGTATAATCCACATTGTGCACACAGAGGAGATGATTCCTTGAAACGTTCACAAGCATTATATACTTCTAAACGTTGCTCTTGTGGAACATTTGGTGACATCATCACCTCTACTACTTGAGCAAGTTCTGCTGATATTTGGGCAACATTGCCCACTCCAAACTCCATTCCTATCTATTATACTGTAATTGAAAATAATAATTAGTTATAAATAATAAATGTGATAAATCAAAAAGAAACAGTATTATTTATTAATGTATTATTTTTATATTTCTTTATATTATTCTTACATAAAATAAAATATAATTTGTAATTTATAATTATTATATAAATACATAAAAAACGATTTTATAAGAATTCTTTAAATATTTAATTTATATTTCTTATAATTTTTATAATTAATTTACATATATACATGATTATAATAATAGTTAAATTTATATTATATATTATAATGATAGTTGTATTAATATAATTAATACAAATTTATATATAAAAAAATTGTTAATTCTGAAATATACATATTGATCTATCTATTTCTATTTCAAATAATAAAAACTATTAACATTTTTTTCATTATTTAAAGCATTTTTATAAATACGATACATACATCAAATTCAATTTCAGCAAATGTTTAATATTTATAAATTACACGTAAATTTTTTGATGAAAAATGATTAAAATTTTGAGAAAATAAAATTATAAAAAAATATATAAATTTCATAAAATGACACTATTTCAAAATTCAAAATTCACGAACATAGCAAACAAAATTAAACATAATTCATAAAGATATCGAAACTCTGAACATATTATAAAAATTTTCAAAGATTCTTAAATATTTGGAAAGAAATTAGATAATATAAAATCGCGTAATTGCAATGCAAGAAAAACATGAGGTGAAGCAGCTTGTAAAGTATGCGTAACATGCCCTGGTAAGCATGCCTTGACAGAAGGCACTTACCTCGTAACGCGATCGTAGATCGAGATGGATCGAAGATACACGTTTAAAAAGAATTTTATCACTATGATTTGTCAATTCATATCTGATGATCACTTGGAATCAAAAATTCGCGGCGGCGATCTTATATTTAGTCAAAGAAGTTCGCTTCTGAGGGATATGCGGCACGTTGAACGATTACATATAGCATACGCAAAATACGTACTGCCATCTAGACCGTTTAAATTTAACCTAACCTGACTTTACAACGCGTGCAAGTTTTTTATGTTTATATAAATTATAACTACAATTAGAAAATAATATTATTTATCATAATTATATTAAAAAAAAATTAATAAACGAAGTAAGAAATTTATAACATTTACCTATCATATATATCTGCAGAGATTATTATTAGTATAATTTGCTAAATAATATAATGTAGAAAATTTTAAAGGTTATGCCGGTGATCTTTTGTTGATCGTAACACGAGTTCACCCTACATATTAAAAGCGATAATATAAATACATGATGGACGAAGCTTTAACTACACCACCTACATTTCAATTGCATTTTTCTAAACAAATATATTGTGTTGAATTATCTCCTTATGAATGGTCTCAACATTTAATTTGTATTGCTTTAGCAGAAGAAATTGTTATCGGTACTATTAAATTCCAGGTAAAATTTCATAACATATGAATATTGAATTTTAAAATTACGAATTTCTCATATAATATATTTAATTTTAAATTGTTTTATATTATTTTTTATAACAAGAATTTAAAAAATATAATTTATAAATTATATTTGAAAATGTATAAGTTTATATGAAAGAGAGAAAATTGAATAATATAATTTA